GTTCCAGTTGCCAGCCCAATACCCTACATTTATTCTGTGTCCCAGCTCAAAATGTTCGGTAAACTTGTGACTGAAACTTTCAGGAGGGATCCCTGCACCGCCGAAAAAAACTTGGCAATTAACAACATACGCCGAAGAGGCGAAGCCAGGAAACGCAATGAAACAACACAACAAACGGGCACTGCAATGCTGCTACATATCGTTCTTGAACTTCGGCCCTGCGGCATTATGTAAAGATGACTACTGGTTGTGTGCGGCTGCCGCTTTATCGACGGATATCGCGAACTGTGAAGCTGGCATGTCTCAACTCGTAGGGCATATTTTGAAACTGTGTTTCGGTGAACGTGGTCACGACTTGAGCCTTTCGGGTGCAACCCTTGACTTACCAAGCGGGCAAAGTATTCGATTATTTGCAAGATTGTCCTGCGTGTTGGGGGATGAGTCGGCTTTGCATTCTTTGTGGCAGTGCAAAGGTTCAGGCGGTGTGGTTCCATGCGTGCAGTGCTTCAACATCGTTAACAAAAACGCTCTTGTTGCAGAAGCACTTGAGCCTGATTCTGCATTGAAGGACTTCACAGAAGTGTCGTCTCTGGACCAATGTGTGCTTCAGACCCGAGCGCGTATTTTGCACATCGTCGATGACTTGAAAAACACAAGGGGTACGATGCCAAAAGGTAGGTTCAAAGAACGGGAGCGGCGCCTAGGCTGGAACGACACACCATACAACATGTTACACGACGCCAAACTTCGGCCCATGCTGGACCCCGCAGCTCAGAATTGTTTCGATTGGGTTCACAACATACTCCAGGGAATATTTCAATGTGTAGTGTTCCGTCTGATGGTCGAGCTGAAAAAATCTGGCATCACGGCTGCTCATATTTTCGCGTGGGTTGGAAGTTTTAGATGGCCAAAGCGGGTATCCAGCTCCAGCGTCACAGGCGTCGACATGGTTTCCCCCAAGAGGTCCGAAAGCTCATGGAAAGCATCATCTTGGAAATGCTCTAACGGAGAGGCCTTGTCCATGGCCCCCGTGCTAGCTCATTACTGCAGAACTGTCGTTATGCCATCTGGTATGCACGATGGGCCCTGTCTTACTTTCATCGCGCTTGCCAGCCTCATCCAAATGCTGTGGTATGGGCCGAAATTAGATATCAAAGCGCAAGATGTCAAAACCGCGACGACTGCATTCTTTCAACATTACGTGAGAGTTTTTGGAGTGGACGGGATGCTGTGGAAGATGCATGGGATTTTGCATCACCCGCAATATATACGTAGATGGGGCTTCTCCCCGCACACGTTCCCACTGGAAAGGAAACATAAGCAGATCTTGAAATTCGGTGATGAGTTCGACAAAGACTGCACAAGGGTTCTTAACGAAGTTGTATCTCAAAGTATATCCAAGCTCGACTTGTCTCCATGGCTTGATTTGGATGTTGGCCTCGTGGGGGGCCAAGCCGTCTCCAAAGAGAGTTCTCGCTCAACAGATCGAAGTGTTTGGCCCGAATGTTGAGCATCTTTCCGCACGCCGCGCTAAGTTTAACGCTTTCGACTCTGCCGCTATAGGAGACACAGTTGCAATCAAGGATCCGTCGGGATGGATTGTCGGGGTAGTTCTTCTTTTCGGTAGCAGCGCTGCGATCCCTTACTGCTCAGTGCAGGGGTTCGCGTGCGTCGAGAGGCACGCGTGGCATTCGACATGGTCGAAGCACGGCTTGCCGTTGCTTGTCGCCTTGGAGGATCTGATTGAAGTACTTATTTCACGGGGGCCTGAGCACGACCTCTGCGTGCTACACCCCCTGGGACTAGTCAGGTGATACGTCTTGCGCCGCACCTGGCACTTGAGAGAACGGCAATACGTTGCACTGTGGCTCTTTGGAGGAGCATGAAGAGGAGGATCAGAAGGAAGATGATGAGGATGAGGCCGACGAGAAGGACGACGAAGACGAAGGATATGAGAGTGGGGGGGTGAGCTACACTCCTTCTGTGCCCCTGCAGAGTTGTTCTCTCACTCCCGCATCCAACCCTTCTTCCTTCTTCTCCTACTCGTGCTCCTGCCAGTCGAGATTGCGAGTTTGATAAGCTCACGCGTGTCATATCGTTTGGGCCGTCTCTGATGCATCAGACAACTGTAGGTCCGATCTTCGAAAAACAAGGCTCCTAATGCTGACGCGGCCTGCTCGAAGGAATCGGAAGTCCAAGTTCCAGTAGTGATGTTTCATGGTTTGGAGCACGCGATTTTTAGGATACAGGGGGTATCGTTGTGAGGTTACCAATGTTAGTAACTCAGGTTAACAAGGTTACTAACCTTTGCAATGGTATGTGTAACTTCATACGCTTGCAACGTAAATCTTACAAACTTGAACTGCGAAGCCCAAAACACCTGTCCTATCGTGTCGCGCTGGGAACGCTTACGCGTGTTACCAAACAGCTTACCGAAAGCTTGCTAACCATTCGGAAGCCACACAGCATTTAGCAACCCCTCTAGTAACTACTAACACCATCCCCCTTCCAAGCGGGAGGCCTCCGACGGCCTCCGAGACTCTCCGGGGACACGGGGACGACCTCCGAAGGCCTCATGGAAACCTCCGAGGGCCCTCGAGGGCCCGGGAAGGCCTCCGAGGACCTCTCTCCGAGGACCCCGGGGGGAGGCCCCCCGAGGGGTCTCCGAGGGGTCTCCCGGAGACCTGCGAAGGGTGCAGGATGGGGCCTCCCAGGGCGTCCGAGGGCGTCCGAGGGCGTCCGACGGCCCGGGATGCCATCGAGGCCTCGGAAAAACATAGCGAACACTCATGCCACGTTCGTCTGTGAACGCCTGCCCCTCCCCCCAATGTTCAACAAAGTTGGCTGTGGGTCTGATGAGTTGCACCTCGACCGCAGTCTCCCCCGCGCGTGCCGACTTTGAGTTCGGGGGGCAGGGGGGGTGTTCACTAACTGTTTCCCTCTACCGTCCGAGGGCCTTTCCCAGACATCCACCGCTCCCAATCTTTCGATGCGTGGATCCCCCGAGGTCTGGACAACTTCTGGACGGCCCCGAGGCCCGGGCCCCAGAGGCCGAAACATGATCGACCCACGAACCTGGAAAACAATAGAGAAATGTAAGGCATGGCAGCGTTTTCAAGACACCCGATTGGGCCACGGGCAATTGCAATGTTGAGTGTACCCATCTTGACGTACCGTGCCAAGGGCTGTGCTATGCTACACTGCGCTGAACTGCGATGTGCCATGCCGCGATTGTGCTCTACAGCGTTGTGGATCGAGTCCCCCTTTGCATCCGAGTCCTGACCGAACTGATCCGGATCTTAAGCTCGAGCTGCCTGAGAACATAGTAGCTGCCCCAGAGCTAACTGACAGGGGGACATGCCAGGGGGATACAACGCGGAACGTCCCAAGGGGACGTGCAAGGGGACGTGCCAGGGGACGTGCCATGGGACGTGCCAAGGGGACGCGCCACGGAACGTGCCAAGGACGTGCCACGGGTCGTGCCACGGGGACGCGCCGCGCGACGTGCCAGGGGGACTCGCCAGGGGACGTGCCAGGCGGCGCGCTAAGGAACGTGCCAGGGAACGTGTCAGGGAACGTGCCGCGGGACGTCCATGACCCAGGGCCAGGACCCCATGTGAAGTACGATACACGCCCGCCTTCACAGGGCCACGATCCCTCGTAAATGACGCTTCGTCGCGCCTCTAGGGCTACGATCCCTCGTAAACTACGCTGCGTCCGCGCTCCCTCTGGGCAACGATCCCAAGCAAACTACACTGCGTCCGCGCTCCAAGGGCAGCGCTTCCTCGTGAATTACGCTGCGTCCGCGCTCCCAGGGTCACGTTCCCCGATCAATTACATGGCGTCAGCCCCCCAAGGGCCACGATCCATCGCAAACTACGCTGCGTCCGCGCTCCCAGGGCCACGTTCCCCAATAAATTACACTGAGTCCGCGCTCCCAGGGTCACGTTCCCAAGTAAATCAAATATTGCGTCCGCGCTCCTAGGGCCACGATCCATGGTTAATTACATTGTGTCCGCGCTCCCTGAGCCAGGATCCATTGAAAATTACGCTGCATCCGCGCTCCCAGGGCTGCGCTCCCCTTGTAAATTACGCTGCGTCCGGTAAACTACGCGGCCTCCGCGCTCCCAGGGCTGCGCCCCCTTGTGAATTACGCTGTGCCCGCGCTCCCAGTGCCACGTTCTCCCTCGTGAATTACGCTTTGTCCGCCCCCCAGGGCCAGGATCCCTTGTAAATTAAGCTGCGTCCGCGCTCCCAGGGCCAGGACCCGTTGAAAAATCATACTGCGTCCGCGCTCCCACGGCCACGATCCCTTGTAAATTACGCTGCATCCGCGCTCCCAGGGCCAGGACACATTGAAAAATTACGCTGCGTCCGCACTCCAAGGCCCCCGGGAGCATCCTTGGGCGTCCAGGTTCCTGGAAGTCTCCAAACCAAGTATTTCGCTTCAGACATCCTAAACATATTCTGCAAAACGAGCGTTTCGCTCGAGACATCCGCAACAAACGAGCGTTTCGCTCGGGACATCCTCAAACCAATTCGCCGGCCTTCTTCGACCCCGATATTCTTAATCGCAAATGAGTCCGCTGGCCCGTCTCAAGTCGCCCCTGGGGGTAAAGGGTAAAACCTCTAAAAGAGAACCCTGGGGCCGAAGCCATTTCCGGGAAGCATGGTGAAAAACTGGCCGCTCTCACTTCGGGGATGCCAAGAAACCCCCTCTGGCAAAACGTCGTTGTGTCGTGACAACGACCTCGGGCCCAACCCCGGCGTGCGCAGGCCTGGAAAAGCACGGCCGTGGAGCCCCCTCGAGAACCGACGCCGCACAAGTCACGAAGCGACGGGTCGGGGTCGGGGCTCTGCCCGAGCCCGCATCACCTCCCCGCCGGAGCTCCGGAGACCTCTGGGCTCGAGGGCCCCGGGCCTCTCGGAAGGGCCTCCGCGGGCCCCGCGCCGCGCGCGCGCGAGGGGCCCGGCGTCGCGGCGGCCGGCCGGCGGCGGGCTCACGCGGGAGCGGCCGCTCCTGGAGGCAGCGGCTCAGGGGGGCGCCACCCTCAGCCGAGCATCGCGTGTCCGACCCCCTGTCCCTTATAGGAGGCAGCTGCTGGGAGGTCTTCGTCGGAAAGGTCAGGGAGGATTGAGCCCCATTGCGGGGCTGTTACGCCAGAGTGGGCTCCGGATCAAGCGGGATTAAGCCGGATTCAGCGGGATAAAGCGGGATTGAGAGGGATTAAGCTGGATTAAGCCGGACTTCGGACCAAAGCAAAATCAGAATTTGACCCCTCCCAGGAGTTGCATCCGAGTATCCCCAAGAACGTGGCCTGGGCCCCACTGGCCGATTGACCCCCCTAGGTCGAGATACAGGCCGTTTCCTTCGGGCTCTGAGAGGTGGATCCCCCACTGGGGTGGTAGAATGGTGGGGGTCTGGATGGGGATGGGGATGGGGATCGGGGTCGGCTAAACAATACTGACCCTAGTTGAGCGACGAAGAGACACGCATGAGAGCAAAGGGAGCCCATACCACCACCAGAACTCCACGGCATTCCGTTCCCCAAAGGCCACCAGCTCGGGGGAGCGGCCAGCCTCCCCAGCTGCTGGTGGTGGCTCTTTTTTTACTTTGGTGAGGAACGGGTCTTGCGCGAAATGGCATGCGACCTTACGCCACGGCTGGCACGGGCCGCGAGAGCGGATCGTTACATTGGAGACGACGGCGCTTACGCGCGACCTTACGTGAGCAGCTTACGCGTGAACGTCGGTGCAGCCGAACCTGTTGCTTTTGCGTCGCCCACTTGATGTTAAGAACGCTAGGGAGGTTACTCCACCGCTTTCAACTGTTCGGCTGCCGGCCAACCAGACAAGGGGATAAAGCAAAAACAAACATTTACAACACAACGGCAACACAGAACAACAAGCAACGGCGATACAAATGGAACCGAATTGCAGACGGTGCGAACGATAATCCCCTAACAGGGGGGGACAACAACGAACCCCAAACTGGACAACAACAACATCAATCTTGAGAACCTAGAGAAACGTTCCCTGCGCTGTTTTATTTCATCAAGGAGTGCAACCCGCCCAGCCCGCGGGGCCCGAATCTCCGACGAATTGTGTTTCAATCCCAGCGATGCTTCTCGGCTTCGGCCTCTGGGATCCGTTGACCCATGAGATCATAGCGTCTCATTCCCAACCATCCTGTGGTGTTTGTTGAGCCCGCATTTTGAAAAGACAGCCCCCCGCGTTCCTTCTCCTCCTCCTCCTCCTCCTCCTCGCCCCTCCTCCCTCCGCGCGTCTGCCCTCCGCATGCCCACCACTTCGGCGCACCCAGTACACCGCTCCGTGCCCCGATGGGGAGCGCCACCGCAAGCCCCAGTGGCTGTGATCACAGGCGTCCCCGCCACCCACTTCGGCACACCCCTCACACGTTCCGTAGCCCCATAGGGAGCTCCACCAGAGGCCCCACTGGCTGTGACCACAGGCGACCCCCGCCACCCATGTCGGCACACCCTGCAGGCGCTTCGTGGCCCCATAGGGAGCTCCACCGAAGGCCCCAGTGGCTGTGATCACAGGCGTCTTCGCCGCCCATTTCGGCACAACCTGACACGTGACCCATAGGGAGCGCCACCGGAAGCCCCAGTGGCTGTGACCACGAAGGCCCCGCCACCCACTTCGGCACACCCCTCACACGTTTCGTAGCCCCATAGGGAGCTCCACCGGAGGCCCCACTGGCTGTGACCACAGGCATCTCCGCCACCCATGTTGGCACACACCTCACACGTTGCGTGGCCTCATAGGGAGCTCCACCGATGGCCCCAGTGGCTGTGACCACAGGCGACCCCCGCCACCCATTTCGGCACACCCCTCACACGTTTCGTAGCCCCATAGGGAGCTCCACCGAAGGCCCCAGTGGCTGTTACCACAGGCGTCCCCGCCACCCATTTCGGCACACCCCTCACACGTTTTGTGGCCCAATAGGAAGCTCCGCCGAAGAGGATACGCACTATTGCTGTACTCACAACTGCATATGGTTGGATCCTTCGCCAGAGTGTCTCTTTTCGAGCCAGGCGTTTTCGCCAAATTTGGGGCCTCTGGACCCTCACAGATCGATTCGGCTCGAACTGTGGTGCAGAATGATGGGGTCTGGGGCTCCGCCCATGATTTTTCATGACGCTGCAGCTGCATCGCTGCGTCGGATCTCAGGATCATCTTCGGGGCAACGAAAACTATCGGGAGCTCTGGGGCCGCGGAGTGAAAACTCAGATCGGCAGATGTCAGGGTCCACCCCATGCCCAGACCTCCTCGCGGTGTGAGGGAATAGCGACGAACAAAGGCCGTGGCCAGGTCCCGGAGCGGCCACAAACAGTTCAGAACGAAAAGCTGGTCCATGGGATGTGGTCGAGACCTCCTCCTCCTCCTCCTCCTCCTCCTCCTCCTGCTCCTCCTCCTCATCCTCCTCCTCCTCCTCCTCCTCCTCCTCCTCCTCCTCCTCCTCCTCCTGCCCCCTGATTCTCCTCCTTCTCCTCCTCCGCCCTCCTCCTCCTGATCCGCTTCCTGTCCGTAGCCACTTCGGCGCGAGCGTTCTTCTGACGCTCTACACGGCGTCTCGCAGCGTTCGCCGTCGCGGATCTTCTCGCCAGAATGCTGCGTGCATGCCCGCTTGTGCCATGGGCCGCCCGTCCAGAGCTCGTGGCGTCGTGGTGCGGCTGATGCAGCTGCTAGGGCTCCCAACTTCGCGCTTCGCGCTGCGCGAAGCGCGAATAACTTCGCGCCCTCGCGCCGCCCTCCCAAAGGGAGAAAAGGAGGACGAGGAGGAGGGGGAGAAGGAACGAGGACCGCGAAGCGCGAAGCGCGAATAACTTCGCGCCCTCGAGGGAGCCCTTGCAGCTGGTGGCCTGCTCCGACTCGGACGGCGGCGACCTCGACCGGTGCGAGCAGCGCCTCCGGGGCGCCGCACAGAAGCCTGGGCCAGGGCGCAACGCCACCTCGGAGGTGCGATGTGCCCTGGCCAAGGCCCATCCCAGGCTGGCACGACGGTGGGTGGCGATGCGCGGCGGCGGGCGCTGGGCAGCTCGCCCCGACACGGGGCTGCTGGACGAGGTGCGGGCGGCCCGGGACTCCAGCCTGGAGGCTGTCCTGGCAGGCTCCGAGGCCAGCGTCGACGGCAGCGGCGAGGGGTCCACCACTGGCTCGCAGCTCCGGGCAGAAGGCGCGGAAGGCGAAGTTTTCGGAAAAATTGAACAGCGATGCCCACCAGCTGGCTGCGCGTGACGAGGACAGGCGTCTGGACTGCGAGTCTGCCAGAGCCCAAGTGGAGGTGCTGATGGGCACGCTGGGGGCGGAGGCCGAGCTCCGCGCGGAGCCTGGACAGCGGCTGGCAGCGTGCGAGCAATCCCTCCAGGCCGTGCGCGAGTCTGCGGGCAATCGCGCTACGGCCGCTAAGCGCTCGGTGGAGGTCAAGTGGGCAACTCAGCAATTGCTGCTCGAAGCGCAGGGCAGGTGGGCGAGCTTGGCCGAGTCCGTGCTGGATTTCTGCACCGGCACCGCGAGCCTCGCAAAGCCCGACAACGTCTCGAAGCACGACAAAAAATTGTCTGCCAAGTATGGTGTCGAGCCGCGCAGAGGCCGAAGGGCTGTCAGTGCGGCTGAGGCGGCATGGCACGAATCTCTCTTGGAGGCGCAGCGCAGTTTGGAAGAGTCCGATTGGCCTGGCTGATGAGTATTTGTTCATTAACGCACCTGTCATTCTCCACACCCTTCGTGCTTCACGCTCTCGAATGGGCGTACCGCATCTCGGAAAAGTCTGACTGACACGGCTGATATGATTATCGGGCGTCGGCGCACCTGTCTTTCTCCACATTCACCACGCTGCGCGTTTTCTGAGTTTGTAATATCTTAATAGAGTTCAACTGGCACGGCTAATGTTGTTCTGAGTGTCGGCGCATGTATATTTCATAAGTTCCTTCGTGCTGCTTCCTACTGAAACTGCATGTCGCGTCGTTAGCTATTGAGGTGAGGCATCCATATTGGACAGGAATCCGCTTCGAAGGTGGATCAATTCGGCTGATTTGGCCGCCCCATGTTCCTTCTCTCCGTCATCCAACTGGCTCTCGCCTGTCGCTCGCTCCCTCATGCGCTTCCTTCCTCAAATCACTCTCTATCGTCCGCGCTCCCCCGCCGCCGACTCTTCTTCCTCTTCCTCCTCCTCGTCGTCCTCGCCCTCGGCCTTTCTCCTACTCCTCCCTCCTCCTGGTGCGAAGCAAACAAGGCATCCTCCTATCCCCATCCCCCTTCCCATTCCCCTCTTCCCCCTCGATGAGAAGGAGGAGCGGGACGACGACGATGTCGTCGTCGACGACGAGGACGAGAAGTCTCTGGAGGTCCTCCATCCTCGATCCCACCCCCGCGGCCCAAACCTCGATCCTCGATCCCAACCCCTCGATCCTCGATCCTCCACCAAAGCCTGGATCCTCGGTCCTCCACCAAAACCATGATCCTCGATCCTCCTCCTCCCTTCACCTGCCGGCGGGCTGACCTTCGGGCCGACCCCACCCCCGCGGCCATCGGGTGCGCGCAGGCGGGGGGCGTCCAAAAGAGGGGTTCTCAAATCATGGCCCGAGGCACGTGCTCGGCTGAGGCGGGGGGGCCAGGAGGCGTGCTGTAATCCGCCGCCCCCCGCATCCCGGCCGTGCAAAGGCGCATGAGGTGATTGGCTGTCCCTCTCCCGCTGTCCCCCGCCCCCCTGGGGTCTGGAATCCGATTGGCAGGGGGCGGCCCGAGAGGGGGGAGGAAGGCCCAGGCGCCTAAACGCTCCCCGGGGCCTCCAGGACCTCCGATTCTACACCCCGTGTCCTTCAAGATGCCAAGATTCCATCTTAACTTGCTCAAGCTGGGCTCCACGCCAAGAAGGCCTCAAAACGCAACCAAGACAGCCTCGGAACTGCCCAAGAAGTCTCCGAGACGCCCCCAGAAAGCTCCAAGAGGATCCCCAACAGGGCCCCAAGAGGCCAAAATCGCCCAAATTCTTAA